CACCATCGCGGTATCATGCTTGAGATTTACCAACCTCTGACACTCGGTTGTGACCATTTGTAGTGTCATATTCGGTTCCTGTTCAATGCGTGCTAACATCCTGGTACGGACATCTGCATCTTCTGCATTCTTTAAACCACATATAAAAATCAAGCATTTGAATTGGTCAGCTGTAATCTCGTTTATTTTGAACAGTTCGCATTCTCGATTTACTTTACCAGCATATGTGAGATAATCATCATCTGGGGATTTCGATATTTGGAAACATCGATAGCGAGTATTAAATAATGAAGATTGTTCGCCGAAAATGTCAGATAAAATTTGGACTGTCTCTTTGAAAGATACATCTCGTGGATTTCGTGGCAGGATGAAATTCACATATTTGTTGTATTCACGTGTTCCGAGTCTTCTCAGGAGTAGGCGAACTTTAGCTGCGTCATCAAGATTTGAGCATTCCACACGGAATATGTCTTCGCAACGATGAAACCAGGAATTGAAAATGATACCAGATTCAGGATCATAATGGAATTCACAAATAGAATTTGTGATGCATTCATACTTATCTGATTGATAAGTTGTGGATGAATGTAATGACAGCTTCTGCATCAGTGCATCTAAAAGCTTCATTTGATTTGCATCATTTTGCGCCTGCTGAATTTGTAGAATAGTTTTAAGGTCGTCCAAGGATACAGACATTTTGTTCTGGATCAATCAATATAGAAAAAAAATCTCCGTCGCCACTTTGTTATGACCTTGATTTGTTTACCCACTTTTTGGTGCCGAGGATACTTGTCTAATCTAGATTTCGACCTTGATGCGATAGGCTGATCAGCTTAACCTTGAGACTAGTACGCGTGAGTTCGAGATGGGGTAGAGAGAAGAAAACTATTCTGCCACCTGATTGGTGGGCAAGCACACGAATGAGAGAAGACAAGACAACTGGAACACTACTCGATCTATTTCCCTGACCACTGAACTCACTGGATTCACTGAATTCCCTTAATTCAGATTAGTGTAAAAAGGTACATGAATAAATAAGTGAATAACCCGACCGCAACGTACAATAATAAGGAAAAATACAATTGTGTCCAAAGCTGGGGATTAGAGTAGAAATAGGGTGCAAAATAATATGTTTAAATTACAATAGCTTCGGAACAGAAAAAGGTATGGCAGTGAATGATACATCGAACGAAAGCTTATGTTCTGTAGAATAGATTAGGGACAAAAAGAAATGTCAATGTTTTACAAGCTTTGAATAAAATGAAATAACGTCCCGAAAAAAAAGCCTTCGTAGTTTGTCAGGGCTTCTTGTTTCCCGGTTCACATCAGACATCATGCTAATATTGTTGTATCAGCGGATGATATTTTTATGATTTTTCGATAAACATATTCCCGTTTCATTTACTACTTAGTACCTCTGGTATAGAAGTACTTCATCATTCATAAGGGCGTCTATATTCCAACCGAGTAAGTTCATTTTTGAGGCGAACTGAACTGAAAGACACTTCATCGGGTAAGATATTGTTACTTGACTGACAGTAATATCTCTTCCTATTGTGTTTGTCCAGTTTTTTTGTACTTACGTTCTTTTTATTCAGGTCTCTTTTCGGTATATTCTGCACCATTTTAAATGTTTATTAAGCCACTATTAGGATGTTATTGGCTTTTACCGTCTTTTGAACTAATGGACTCGTGAGGGTGTCACTGCGATTCAGTAGCGTGGTGTCGAGTCGCGATTGACTATGAACACCGCTACAAGACTACGTGCCAATTAACCAATAAGATCCCCGTAGGCCAATATCAGAAGACAGATGATGGCTGTAGTCGAGATGTATTTGTTGGCGATCTCGTGGTATCGAAAGAATACCGAGATCGTGCCAATGGAGTACAAGCGTGGTTACTGAGCGTAACCGAATTCGTACAAGTTCAAAGTCAACGGGAGAGTAAGTAAGTATAATGGCTGTCATTAGCACAGTTAAACAAGCGAGCACAGTAAAACAGTCACTGGTACAATTGGTTATAATAATAATTGTTTTCATTGAACCAATCGCGTTCTGTTGACAAAAGTAGGTCACTACAATTCTATTAAACACACGGACAATGAAGCAGCTTCACTTATGGATGAGTGGGTGTCATCTAATTTTGATTTATTACTGATATGTATTGGGGGTCTTTTCCAATAGAGAGGATTATAAGCAATGTGATACATTATGATCATATCCTTTAGATCCTTCTGCACTGTTCTGACTTTGGGTAATAGCTTTTGAGTTCAGTTGAATTTATTGTTTAATCAAAGTTCCTTATTCGATGCTTTTATATGAACACAATCTAATAGAGCGGCATCATTCTTCAGGTAAGGAGGCGTTGCGCAGGTTGTTTTCCAGACAAAGTTTTAGATAGACACTAGAGACAGTTATCAAAACTTCTGAAGTCAGGCTACGAAATGTTCTAGGAACAAGCCAAAGGAAGGAGCATGGTCTATCGCATACTGACTGCTAAGTGGAAAAGACGCATGGATTTCTTTTTGGTTAGGGAAATGTGAAACTGGAATCTTTTAAGAATCATTTAAAGTATGGAATATCAATGATATTCACCACTAATTTTCTTCATTTACAAGTTTCAAGGAAAAGAAACATTTCGTCAGTATGGTCTAGCCATCTTGAATGGTCGAAACATGGAAGGACCAGCTGATTTCTGAAAGTCATCCGCTTAAAGGAGAGTTTGGATGAATCATTATTGTTCCTTACGAAGAGAAGTAATCCAGGGATCGAGCATTGTTTCACTTCACTTGTTAGCGAAAACTGATACTGCAGAATTGTCCGAAGTCCGGCAGTTCGTAATCTCCTATTTGATTAATATATAGGGTCACGTTATCTGAACCCGTCTATACTGACTAAATTTGGCTTTGGAGGCAGGGTACAGTGATCTACACTTGGAGATATCTATGTAGCTGATGTGCACTGAACAGTTGTGCTTCAGGCACTTAATGCGTTTGCGTCATGGGATATATCATACAGAAAAACGTGTTGCAATCCATAGAAAATTAACATATTGAAGATATAGTTAAACATGTTGAATGCTAAATGAAGCAACAGATTTCTGTAGACTCGAGAGCCTTGGAGTCTCCTTGACTTCCAGAGGTCCGGAATCCTTTAGACCTGGACCAGTATGAGAAGGTTCGCAGCAGACGTTCTTGGAAAAATTTAAAGGATTACACCATTCGTTTACGTCGATAGAATCTCGTCAGTTTGGTCACAAAGTCTGCTTTGACAGTGCCATAATCTCTGTGTGTAAGTTTTTGTTCTGAGTTCTTTCGTCAGGTCAATCTGCTATGGAGATAAAAAATGAAATAGGGGCCTGACTATACTGTCTTGGAAAGTAGAGGATTGTTGAGTGCCTTTAGTGTACAAAGCTCAAACTCCGCCGTGTTTTTAAATGTTAAATGTTTTCGTGATTTTCCGTGAGTTTCTGAAGCATCCGGTATTTTACGTTCATTTAGTGGTTAAATAAATCATTTTAGACGTAGATGCGACAAATTACATAACATCTGATCACATTTGTACCATACAAAGTTTATTGACTCAATTATTTTAAGACTTTTAGTAAATTGATCGACCCAAACAACCAATAAAGGGAAAAAAGGCGAACAAAGGGTAAAATGCGTTGCCTCTATGGGGGAAATAATTTGGATTTTTACCTCTTTGTCGCTGTCTTTCAAATGTTTCTAAATTTTTATTTTTTGCCTAAATATACGCCGAATTATATACTTTTCGCTTAAATACAAGCCGAGTCTTCTACTTTTCTCGCCTACATATACACCGAATTGCCTATTTTCACCTAAATGCGCGACGATATCTCTAATTTTGGTTACAATTTTGAAACACCTTTGGCATAACCACAAACGTCTCCTGTGTTCGCATTTGTTCCAGTAACACCACACGAAAACTTCAAACCACGTAAAAAATGGTTTAAAGAAATTTATTGAAAAGAAAAGCGTATAATTGTATAACATTATGAGTAGTTGGCAGATGCTAGAGCATCAATTGTTATGTATTTTAATTCTAATTGCCAAGTCTTATTGTAATTTGAAAAGATCTACAAAAGAAAGAACAATTGATGTATTAATAATAAAGCACATGTACTAAATTGCAAGTGCATTTAAAGTCAAAGAAGCAGATCTGCTTGGACAGATATCGATATGGTTTGATCAGAACTTAATACGTTAAGAATGTGATATTTGTGGTACTATCTGCTTGTCTTATGAAGTTTGGCATTTTAAACGAATGCTCCTTAGTGTCGTAGGGAGCATCTATCATGTACTTTTTATATTACTCGCATTGCACTTTACTATCGACGTTCTTTGTTTTCTGTGATCTACTTGTTCATCTAGATTCCTGATACAAAATAATGCTGCGTTTTGAGTGCAGATGTTTGCGGAAGAAAAAATAGAATGTCCTGAATTTATAAAATGTACTGTCCATTTTCTTTAAAAAACATTAAGGGTTTCCTCAACGAATATAGATAGATTTCCCCAGTGTTATAAGATTCTGGGAAAATATTGGGAAAACCCAAAATACTTTGGAATTTTCTCAAGACCCTGGGGCATTTTGTCGTTTTTGTGCCATTTCCCCCAAATTGACAAAATTTTCGGCAAAATAGGGAGATCGGGCTTATAATGTATTTCTAAGCTCCTTGACAACAGTTCGATATTTCTTTGACTTCCTACGGTTTTATTCTCTATTCCTCTAGCTATTTGGACTGAGTTTATGAGATTCACCCTTTCTCGTTATATACAGGTCTTTTTGTGGCTAGATCCTGTATACCTTATTATTACTGAAACTAGAGGTAATGAAACTGGTCCTACTATCTTTTTAAAAAGTTAATTTCCACTTTAATGGTTTTCATCAAGTATAGTTACCAATAAGTCATTACCTTGAAAACGTTTTGATTACTTGTAAATATGTGGCAGTGTAAATCCCATCTTGTTCCATTGTAGAACAATGAGGCGTCCCCTTAAAGTTCAGCAGCCCGCTGGTGATGAGGAAGACAACTCAGAAAGCTTTAAAAAAGGTTGTTTATTAGTGTTGTTAATCAATCAACTGTACAGTTAGACGTGTAATCTGCAAAGGTAAAGCACCAGTCGATGTTGAATGTGTTGCTAAAGTCAATTCAGCTTATGTTTATTATGAAGGCGATGATATTTACGATGTCATGCTAAATCAGGTAATATAAAGTAATTTTTTAATCATAAAGTGAACTATTTTAGACTAATGTTCAAAATAATAACAATAAATACTATATTATACAGCTTTTAAAAGATGAAAGTATAAATAATTACTCAGTCTGGTTTCGTTGGGGTCGAGTTGGGAAATCTGGCCAAAATAAACTTGAAAATTTTGGTGGTAATTTACAAGCTGCTAAGAGTTGTTTTGAAAAAAAGTATATTGACAAAGATTTTGCAGTTGTAAACGTATTTAAAAAAAAATAGATTTCTAGATAAAACACTAAATCAATGGGGAGAAAGAAGGAATTTCATAAAACAAAATGGAAAGTATGATATGGTTGAAATTGATTATGGCGTACAGGTTGGTCTGTAGTATATTGTTGTATTCACTTCTAAGGATGAAAATGCAACTGCAAAGAAAAAGAAGGTTAAAGAAGTTAAATCACGACTTCCTGTTGCCGTGCAGGTAAATGTTTTGTTAGAAGTTATTCCATAATAATAACAGTCAGTCAGTCAGCTGCAACGTAGGACCAGGCACGTATATGCATTGGTCCAAGTTGCCATACCGCATTAGCACAACAACATGAACACCGGATTCATAGAAGTAGTTAATTCAGTGGTGGTAATATATAAAAGAAAGAGTGTGTATAAGGAGATAGTACAGGAAGATACAATTAGTTCCTAGAAAGAATGATATGAAGCGATTTTAATCTCTTAGATTAAAGGAAGACAGAGAGTGTATACACCGACGCCATTGTGATCGATTCTGAGCCATGTCACCCACGGTCTCCAACCATTGGTTATGATAGTCACGCGGACCCCAACCAAGCAGTCTGCATCTACCAACATGGCTCAGCCCAGAAGTTAGTGACTTCAAGCACTGATGCCACGTTTTGGTTTGGCCGCCCCTAAATTTCTTCCAGTCATCCCTAACACCGGTTAGCATTGCGCGTCATGGTAATCGATGTTCAGGCATACGCAGCACGTGGCCCAACCATCTCAGTCGATGAAGATTCATAACCTCATCAACTGATTTACCATCATTCCCTAATACCCTGCGTCTAACCTCACTATTACTTACCCGGTGATCCCAGCAGATACCCGCAATATTTCTAAGGCATCTGTGGTCAAATAGTAGTAACTTACGAATATCTTCTACTCTTAAAGGCCATGTTACGCAGCCGTATAGTAGAACGGAACGAACTGCCGCGCAGTATACTCGTCCCTTAATTGATAGACGGATATCTCACCTTCGCCATAGATGACGTAAGTCGGCAAAGGCCAAGCGAGCTTTTCGAATCCGTGCTGAGATTTCGTCAGACACCAACCCATTAGGGCCGATCAGACTTCCAAGACAAGTGAAGTTGTCGACGCGTTCGACTACTTCACTCCCTATCCTTAGTTCAGGTGTTGACGCAGACCAGTCCTGAAGCAACAACTTGCATTTGGAGGGAGAGAAGCGCATCCCATATTAATAACACTTTCTGTAAATCTATTACTTCCTCACAATGAAAAATATGAACTATGGCTTATAAACGTACTAAGTACCATGAAAAAAGGCTTAGTTCAAGCTTCTTCCTCAGAGCTAAAGGTGCTATTGGAGATTTAAATTTCAGTCTATTAGTGTAGGATGTTAATTCGTAACACTGACCGAAAGGGTAAATTAAAGCTCTACGTTTTAAATACTTGGATTAACACATCACTTAGCATTAAACTGACTGTTATTAGTCATTTTCTCGGACCGATGAATCGAGACATCTTAGTGGTTTAATAAAGATCATTTTGTTAAAAATCACATCACTCGTATTAGATGCATGAGTGGTAAATATGCCATAACTAAGTGGTTCTCTGAAAAAACCTCGTATTTACCAAGCTTATTTCAAAAAATGTTGGACTCATATATCATTAAATAAAAACTCCAGATAATGGGTCACACAAAATAAAAAGACCGTCATGCAAAGAGTTAGTTATAAAACTTTATAGTGATAAAATTTAGCAAATATTAATATACAAGTTTAATAGATACGCGATCAAACAGACAGAATAACTTGACTCATGTTTGTGGGGCTAATTTGCCTTCATATAAGGATAGAAATAATAAAGTAGCTAAAAATCATGGCAGTTAGTCGCGAATATTGGTGCAGACAGTTGTGGCGAACTAGAAATCCGAAAAAAGGCAGTTGAAAGAGGTAAAAAAGTATGGAATAACGTTTTTAATATTTGGAGTTAGATTGGGGATCTGCATTACTGCTAACTATTTCGAAACATTTCATGGGTTATACCTATCTGACAGACCGTATCTAAAAGTTGTAATTTCTCCTAACACCCCCCAAAAGCAGTCGGATATTTCATGGTCTAATTGCTGCTAAATTTTCGTCAATCTACACCTATGCTACCAAGCATAGGATTTCTTGATTGGCGGTGGCTGGGCACATATTACATATTTCCTAATCTCAGTCGATCCAAATTCTCAACTTCAAACTGATATATCATTTTTATTTGGTAATGTATACTTGACAGCGTTACTCACTTGACTGTTTTGCTATACGTGAGCAACGGTTTGAATAGGTAGCTAGAGGTCAGATAAACCAAGCTTTTGACCCATCGTTACAATATTCTGATTTTAGAACGAGTCGCTCTTCGCTTTTTGTCTATCCACATTTTTAACTTCTAGAACTCAGTTAAAAGTATGTTTTATTCCTCGTAAAAGTTTTCAAAAAGCGATCGTCTTGCGACTTAAGACTAAACAGGATAGGACTTTCAGTTAAAAATGAGCTGCTTAACCAGATAAAGATTACAATTAAGGGAAAGAAAAGTATAATCCATACAGAAATATTAGATACTAGAAATAATCTCTTTCGTAGAAAGAACCACCATTTTGAGTACTGGGTTCTATAGGGTTATTCACATTTTGTAATAATCCATGTAAAATCTGTGTGCTGCGTTGATTCATAAATCCGTAGCAGGCGGTTTTCTTCACTATGACCGTTGACCAAATTAGGGACATATAACCTTCCCTCTCTTGGATCCGATATTAACACCTCAGTTTAATAATTTCCTTGAGTAATTCATATGCTGGTCGAGTCAATTTCAGTTTTGGTCATTTGGTATCTCCCTCATTTGTAGAAACGTCCCAGTTGAGAGGTTTCTCGAAAAGGCTACAAATGTGTGGTCCACTGTATACCGTTTATGTGGAAAGTATGCTGAACGTATTTTGGTTGGTAATATATCCAAGGTTGTAGTGTCTTCTAGAAGTCGGCCAGTGGTAAACATCATGTCGGTATATTTAATTCTTGGATATTTCCTAAAGCGTTTATAATCAAATTTTCTGAGAAAATTCATCTTTATCATATGCGTTGCTTGTCTTACTAAATTTCCCATCAATTTACTGTGTTCACTGTTATTCTTTTTTAGGTACTTATGAAATTAATATGTGATTTTAGTAACATGGAACAAGTTATGACTGAACTAAAATATGATTCACGTCGAGCTCCTCTAGGAAAACTTAGTGAATCACAAATTCGTGCAGGTTATACAGCATTGGATAACATATCCCAAATGATTAGTGCTTTGTCAGCTCTAAGTCAAGCGTGTAATACTGAAACAGAAACTAAGCCAAGAGGCAGAGTAAAACGTATCGTCAAAACAAATGCGGGTGATAAACGTAAACTTGAAGAACAATTACTGTTGGCCTGTAATGATTTCTATACACGGATACCTCACGATTTTGGGTAAGAGACTGTTTATGACCATTGCAATTAGCAAAAATACAAACTAAAGTGATATGCTGTATGGCCAAAAGATCTCATTTTAGGCTTACTATCTCGTAATTAACTCTCTATAACTATTTTTCTCACACAGTAATAATATGCCTGTTTATTCGTGTTGTCGTCTGAGTGTAACTCCAGTGGATAAATTTGCATCTTCTTACCCTACGAAAGGGTATCGCAATTTTTTTGTTCACATCTACAATAACATGTATCCACTGTACGATGCGTTATTTACATAAGGTGAAAGTGTTAAATACTACGGAGAGTAGTGATGTTGTAGAAAACGAACCTATTATTGCCCTTGCTTGGTTCTCTAAAGGATTTGACAGGGTGCGGGAGACTAGTAATATTGAAAACCCTTATTGTTGTGAGCAACCAAAATCTACCAGTTCGCAAGAATTCCACGAGATTTGGAAAACAGATCTGCAATCCATCCTTGACTCATCCACATAAAGACATTGTTGTGACTTTTAAGCCTTGCTAATTATCATAGGTCAGCTGTGGAAGTACAGGATATGAGTGTTAAAAACCGACGTATTAAACATGGGGAGCACCTATCTTTTTATTATTCGTCATGTACGCAAATAAAATGTCAGAATGCGTAAACGGTCAGTAGATCCCCTCATATACACATAATTTATTTATTTTATTTATTTACCGAAACGGCGCAGTAGTTGTAGGACATACTTGATACGTTGCGTAAGTTATTGGGTTGAGGAAGCCTGTACCTCACCAAACCAGTAACCGTATTGTTCAATAATATTTGTTCATTTTATAATATGCAATTCATATTTTTAGCTTTCCTTCATAATTGATTTTGGTATCCTATCCTCTGCTTTTCATCTTATCAATCTTCCTAATTGTTCTGTTATGGTGTTTTGTTGTAAGGTAGACCAACCGCACACTTATGTCAGATATACGTTATCTGTAATTAAGTTAATAAATTTAGTTCATCTTGACTTCTGTTTTCATAATTATGACATTTTATTACTTTTCTAATACAGTTATTTTAATAAGAAATGTATATCGATTGTTTTTATGATTTTTTTTTCATTTTCTACTTTTCTTATAGTATGCGTATACCACCGGTTATTCGTACAATGCCTGAAGTCAAATCAAAAATTGAATTACTAGAAGCCTTATCCGATATTGAATTTGCTGTAAATATTTTGAAGAATAATCAATCATCTACTGAAAATATTATTGATGTAAATTATAAACGACTGAATTGTGACATTAAACCTTTGCGATCAACTGATCCAATGTATTCGGTAAGAATACAACATACATGTGTATTGAACTATTTTGTGTATACATTTTGCTTTCTCAGTTGCTTTAATGAATGAATAAATGAATTTATCTCACTCCTTTGGTTGATTTTAGTGTAAAAGATATCGGAAGTTGGAAATATGGAGCAGTGGATCCGTATCCAGTAGTTTAAATTATTGGGTGTTCACTGCTGAACCTGAATGTCTTGGGTGTTTCCTCTAGGGGGTCTTTGTCGGCGGCTTGTGGGGATTCCCATAATAGAGCGAAACAACTGCACTTCGGCGGCTTGATCTTCTATAATACTGCATCTGAGACCAGTCTGTGGGAAATGCAATCTGGAAATATTAGTTCTTGATGTATTTCGCACAGTTGCTCACATGACTATAGTTCTTATGATGAATTAGCTTCGAGTATTTTGGTAGAATACACCAGTGCATCACAATCCCGAGAATACTTTTAAAAAAGTGAAACGGACAGTTGTTTAGTACTTAACTTGTTTGTCAGTAGTAGTTATTTGACAAATCACAACCAATACTGTGAAATTTCACATGCTTGTTGCTAACTTTAATGTTACTATATTCTAACATTTATTTTATCAATTAAGTAAATTTCTCGACTTATTACCTCGGCTACCCAAGCTGATGTAGGTCAACTGTGTTTCGTTGTAGCTGACAGACAAGTGCTTTAATCATTAAATTGATTATTCAGTCTTTTACTCAAATAAGATATGGTGTAGCCAGTTCTTAACTTCAGTCAGTAGGTAAGTAGCTAGTCAGTGAAGTGTGAATTAAAATTTTACCAATCTAATTCCTTGTACATGCTATTCCTAGTACTTTGACTATTCATTGTTTGTCTAAATGTTAAATATTTTTGTTGTCGAAGTTGTTAACCGATTACATGCACGAAACACATGGAGTTACACATAATTGGTATACGTTGGAAATATTAGATATATTCGAATGTCAAAAATCTGCGGAACAAGGAGAATTCAAAGATTACGGGAATAGGTAATTAAAAAAAAACACTATTTCTCTCATTTATTGTTCAATAAGAGTTTTTTTGACAGGATTGTATATATAGTTTTTATTGAGTAAAACTTACACTAATTCCTCTTTATTTTGTAACACATCATGAAAATATCTCATGAGAACTGTTTTAGTTTTAGGGACCTAACAGATATTATACAAAATGTGACTAACTGTTTATTGTATATTTTTTGGATGTATATAATCAGAAGAACGTATATGTATCACTTATTATTAATCTCATTGCCTTTATATAACCTCTGAATGATTACTTCCCAACATATAAAGACACATAGATCTTAACTATGTTTATTCATACACGTTGTATACCTATTCTTCCGATTATTATGATTTTAGTTACGTTTCGAACATTCATGTAAACTGCACATACCAAGGTATGCTAGAAATTTGTCAAGAATTATATTTATCAGTATAGGGCTGTGAAGATTGTTAAGTTCGAATCGATATCATGAATGGATAAATGTTAGACCACCATTTAAAACCTGGAAGCACTAGTGCGTGTTCACGACACTGCATATGGGATTTGAACCCAGAACCTTCTGTTTTGCGCACGAACGCTTAACCTTTAGACCACTGAACTGGTATCCAACGGCGTTAATGTCTAATTTCAACCAATCCACAATATTGCGTCCCATGCTAAGATGAAACATCCGTGCAGTACTTCCAGGTGTTGAAGTTGTAAATTAACACCTTTGGGTACCGGCTCAGATGTCTAAAGGTTTAACGTTCGCGCGCGAGACCTAAAGTCCTGGGTCCGAGCCCTCTGGTTGTTTAACATTCACCCATTCACAATATCAATTTAAACTACATATATATTAATAATCGTAATTTTAGGTTGCATGTAGCTGATGAGAAACCATAGACTAATGAATTCATTTTATTCTGCAAACATTTTTATTCTTGGTGTGTTTAAATTTGTCAGGTGATCTGGTTGTACAATATTTAATTTATACATACATTTATCTATAGTTTCTCATTGCTCCCAAATGGCCTGGTAGGGCCGAGATTAGGGTGGGCCCGCCCTCCCTCTCGAAATGCTCTCACATGGCCACGCGTATATAGCCTCTGCCAGGGAAGTCCTACTCACTGCCTTCTCGTGGCGGGGGTGTTGTTTACGAAAATGAGAGGACGAAACGCGAATGTCCGGCGCTTTAACCGGATCCCAAACCAATGGTGCACATGGGCTCCAGTATCCTGCGGGAACAAATGGCGTATGGACCAATCTTTGGTCGCCGGCTACCATGGGACTGCATCTCCTCACGATGCTCCACTGCCTTGTGGGTCAGACCTTTGGGTCAAAGGCTCCGGGTGTGGCCCCCTAAGAAAACCACATGCTTCGGTTTGGGCACCCGGGCAGTATCACAGCCCTCACACATATCAATTGAGATTTGTGTGGTGCATATATATTTGGTGCCCTCTTGTATCAATATTTATGTGTCCAAATAAATAATAATAAATGAATAAAGTTTCTCATTATCATTATAGGATGCTTCTTTGGCATGGAAGTCGTTTAACTAATTGGGTTGGCATTTTAGGCAGAGGTTTACAAATTGCTCCACCTGAAGCTCCATCTTCTGGTTATATGTTTGGAAAAGGTGTATATTTTGCTGATTGTTCATCGAAATCAGCCAATTATGTTTATCCAACACAAGCTAATAATGTTGGACTCATGATTGTTTGTGAGGTAAATTATATATATATATATATATATATATATATATATATATATATATATATATATATATATATATACTGCTGAGTATTTGCAAACTAAAACTGAAAAATTAACAAGTAATTTTCTAATTTTCATTGATTCCACAACCTATAATTAAAACTATCAACGAAGTAAAAATGAATTCATGCTATTCTTCTAGAATGTTTGTTCTTGCTCTTCTTGAAACTACCATCTTAGTCTTCTGATCGCCTTGAGCAACAAGGTGAGCATATTTGCTATGCGTTTCTTTCCCGTTCAATGCTTAATATTGCTTCAAGTATCAACTCCTACACTAGTGATTTAATGAATTGGTTAAGAGCATTGATCACTTCATTTATTTTAAAAGTCTTATGAACCCAAGTGAATCGGTGTCTAATACAGATTCCGGAAACTGTTGCTTTGTAACAACTTGTGTCGTTTGTGATATTTGCGCGATGCAGAGCTGTCAATAAAGGGACATGTATACTGTGCAACAGCTTGTTCTCTTTTGATTCATGGCTGTCAAACATGATTTTCTAAAGTTAAAAACATTATTAAGTTGTTAGTATTCGATCATAGAAATCTTCCAAATATTACCCGCGTATAGTGGAACAAGAAGGTGAGCTATTTCTGTTTAGATTACTAAGTAATGACGGATTAATCTCTGATAATATTAAATTTTCATTAAGTGTGGGGTAGCTTAAATGTATCCTGCATTTGACCTGTCACTAACTACCCAAGCTCATAATCGTGACGAACAGAAATAGTTGAAAAAAAAGCTAGACGCAACGAAACAAAAAATTGACAGCATCCCATGAAGTTAGTGATTGTTATGTTTTTGGTTGCAGAGTACATTATTAAATTGTGACCAAACGATGAGAATTCACGATCTCATCAGCTGATAGACCATCTTTATCGAGTAGCGTAAAGTTAACCTCGATATCACTCACATAATATTGTGCTGTATGTGTTATTGGGATTTAGACTGGATTGAAGCATGTTCCGTATAGGATTGTGTTGGGGCACGTTGAATGGCTATTTATGACCCATCAGCACTAGCGGAGACTTGGAGAAGACTATGAAATCTTATGTAAAAATTATAAATATTACTAACGATTTTCTGATTGTGATTCCTATTTTCATCTACCCTTGTTATTGGAACCTGACCGTTGTTGCTACCTTGACGTGGTGGTCGGGCTTGCCTATCGTGATGAAGCAACTGAGCTATACTGGCTGGAACAACCGTTCCTCAAGGTCCTACCATGCCAGACAGGTCGGTTGAAGAGCGGTAAGACTAAAAGCAACAAAACCAAGGTCCGAAGGCGAAGTCGTACTGCTGACTGTACAGAGGTGTGACAGCGGTAAGGTGTTTCCTTCAGACAACCAGCATAACAGCGATGCTGCCTTCCCAAAAGAACGGGTGGGGTTAGAAAAGGTCGACCCTAAAAATGCACACCTCGCCTTATCCCACGGATATCCGTCTCCGGCGGTGAGGTCTCAACAAGTATGGAGCTAACACAAAAATTACTCATAAAAAGGTTGTGTGTGTCCGACCTCAAGCAGCTGTCCCTTGGGCACTGCGGTCACGCTCTCAGGTCACTATGACGACCTCTAATCCAATTTCCTTTTCAAGGACCTCCAGCAGAACCCTTCCACGGTGTCGGCAACCGGGAAGTGATAACCGCCCTCATATCTCTAACAGCACTCAAGACCACTGTATTCATAATCAACCTACCTCTTCAATTCCTATTATTCCTCTTACATCGACTTTCAAATCTAAACTCCCTCTTTCGGCTTCCTCCTCAAGTGTCACCACAGCCAACGATTCTAGTGCGCAAAACACTGTTCCAGGTCTACTGAAACCTCGCTCCAAACTACACATCGGAGCCTTCAACCTACGCACACTATGCCAAATCGGTCAGCAGGCTTCCTTGGCTAAAACCTGAGCATCTCGTACGATCGATGTATGCTGTGTCTCCGAAACACGCATACAGGATCCTAGTGTGGTCATTCACTTGACCTCACCTCGGCAAAACGCAGAGCCGACGAGATACACCCACCGTGTATCTGGCGACCCGATGGCTAGTTCTCGTGGACTGGCAGGTGTAGGCATAGCACTAAGCATGAGGGCGGAACAAGCGCTATTAGTGTGGATCCCCGTTAATAGTCGTCTATGCGCTGTTCGGCTAAACGGCTCGGTAAGAACTCGAAAGGATAGGGACACACGTCGTTGCCTTTTCGTCGTTTCTGCCTACGCTCCCACTGACTGCAGTTCGGATGAAGTGAAAGATGAATTTTACAGAAAGCTGTCTGAACTTCTTCAGAAAGCTAAACGTTCAGACATAGTACTCGTAGCAGGTGACTTTAATGCCCAGGTAGGTAGCCTAAACGAAACAGAAAGACATTTAGGTGGGTATTTTAGTATTCCGGCACAGAGAACAGATAATGGTGATCGTCTCCTGGAACTTTGCTCAGACAATCGTTTATTTTTAGCAAACACAAATTTTAAGCATAAGGAGAGACATCGTCTAACATGGCGACCCCCTGCACCAAACCAACGATGGACTCAAATAGACCATATTGCCATCAGTCATCGTTGGAGAGGGTCGATAGAAGATTGTCGCTCATTCTGGAGTACCTGCTTGGACTCCGACCATGCCCTAGTACGAGCACGCATCTGCTTGCGCCTCACTGGACGCAAAAGAGCCACACAAAAAAGACTCATTAGAACCGAATTGAGTAACGAGAAAACCAAAAGTAGGTTCCAGGAACAACTGAGGTCACACTTAGGTAGTTCTGAAAACGAGGCTGACCCAGATGTTGATTGGAAAGACATACAAGCGGCTGTGGAAACAGCAGTGACATCTACTAGTGATTTAAACCACAGGGTTACAAAGAACCAATGGATTTCTTCAAGGTCTATTGCACTGATAGATTCTCGTAAACTCATCCCATCAGGTTCTGAACACGATGAAGAGCGTAAAGAAATCATATCTGGGTTAAGCAAAAGTCTAAGGAACGATCGTGAGCAGTGGTGGGCAACGAAAGCAAAAGAGATGGAAAAGGCGGCGGCTATAGGGAACGCAAGACAACTCTACAGACTAATAAAAGAAACTGGAATTAATAAATCAAGTGTAAGTCAGACTATTTCGGAAAAAGACGACACTCTCATCTGCTCCCAGTCCAGACGTTTAGAACGATGGGCGGAACATTTTAAGGAGCAGTTCAGTTGACCTTCAGCTACTCTACAACTACCCTCTATTCCCAGACAGTGTGGATGGAACATTGAAGTAGGTCCCCCAACTCTAGCTGAAGTTCAAAAGGCTATAGCTAATCTGAAACGAGGAAGGGCAGCTGGTCCAGATGGATTAATCCCAGAGGTCTTTAAGGATGGTGGTCTAGTTTTAGCGATTAGGTTGACTAATATTTTAGCTAAAATCTGGGAGTTAGACGTTATCCCATCTAACTGGTCACAATCACTAATCGTCCCAATATTTAAGAAAGGGTCGAAATCATCCTGTGACAACCACAGAGGGATTAATTTAACTAATATAATATCTAAAATACTAGCTTCGATAATTTTCGGACGCCTAACTAAGACTCGTGAGCTGCAAACACGTGAAATTCAGACTGGCTTCAGACTTGGTCGTGGCTGCATCGACCACATATTCACCATTCGTCAGGTTCTAGAACACAGGCATACTTATCGGCGTCCGACAATAGTGGTCTTCCTTGATTTAAAAGCAGCGTTTGACTCTGTTGACCGAGAGGTTCTGTGGCAGTGTCTGTCATTGAAAGGCGTACCTCAGAAGTACATAAACCTTGTGAAAGCTCTTTACTCGAACACTACTAGTCGAGTCAGAGCTTATGGCGAACTGTCATCGGCTTTCGCAACCTCAAGTGGCGTCCGCCAAGGCTGTCCACTTTCTCCACTTTTGTTTAACTTCATCATAGATATACTGATTGAAATAACGCTCTCATCGACTGAATTCTCAGGTATTGATCTCCTACCAGGAGGTCCACTTATTGACTTAGAATACGCAGATGACATAGTCCTGTTTGGCGAAGACGCTGATGAAATGCAGAGTCTTTTGGTAGCACTGAACAACAATACCAGAATGTTTGGGATGCGCTTCTCTCCCTCCAAATGCAAGTTGTTACTTCAGGACTGGTCTGCGTCAACACCTGAACTAAGGATAGGGAGTGAAGTAGTCGAACGCGTCGACAACATCACTTATCTTGGAAGTCTGATCGGCCCTAATGGGTTGGTGTCTGACGAAATCTCAGCACGGATTCGAAAAGCTCGCTTGGCCTTTGCCAACTTACGTCATCTATGGCGAAGGTGAGATATCCGTCTATCAATTAAGGGACGAGTATACTGCGCGGCAGTTCGTTCCGTTCTACTATACGGCTGCGTAACATGGCCTTTAAGAGTAGAAGATATTCGTAAGTTACTAGTATTTGACCACAGGTGCCTTAGAAATATTGCGGGTATCTGCTGGGATCACCGGGTAAGTAATAGTGAGGTTAGACGCAGGGTATTAGGTATTTAAAATGACTACTTACTGTGATTGCTTCCTATCCTTATTCAAAAATCCATCTCATTTTATTTTACCATTAAAATGATCAGCAATTTTTATCATTTGTTATTTTTTTGGAATCATCTAAGGTTTCGTTAGGTAAACAAAGAGAATTATATCAATCATGTTCTAATGCTCATGAAAATCTCGCTGATTATCATAGTGTAAAAGGTGTTGGTAAATGGCGAACAAATTCCGAAACATGGAAAACTTTGTAAGATGTTTATTTGTGTTGTTTTCTGTTTCGAATATATTTTTATTTCATTTCTATATCATCTTATATAAATAGATATATGCTATCAGTATGGGGGTTTGTGGAGATTATAGTAATGTTGACAGTTGAATTCATAAGTCGATCTAAGCTAGATCACCATTGGAAAACTAGAAGCACTGGACGATCATTTCGTCTTTCTGAGGAGTCCCATATTATGACGAAAACGGCCGTTCAGTGCTTCCAGGTTTTCAATGGTGGTCTAGTTTAGATCTACTCATGAATCCAACTATTAAAAATATCTCTTTTACTATATCATTTTTCATATGGTGAATATTTTCAACTTAGTACTGGTCCATCATGTGACTAATACTTGTAAACTAATTAATTGATTTTTTTCTTTTGCATAGTTTATTACACAATTTAAACTATTGTTTAAGCAGAGAAAATCTACTCTGCTCATTTCTAGTTGTTTTGCTTGATCTGTACACTTTTATCGTTAGTTTAATCAGTACGGCACGATTTGAAAATATGGCAAATATTGCGCATTGGTTCAAATTGGTTGTCACATCACTTCAAGTTAGAGAAATGAAATTGTAAAAACTTATACCTCGAGTAGTTGGAATAGTGACGGTATCATGGGTAGTATAGAACACTAGACATAGAGCATATGGTTTGAGAAAATATAAATTCATAGAATAAAAACGTCCAAAATAATTTTGCAACTCAAGATATAAAGGAAGACGAAAATGAATGAGCCTGCAACATTACGAGAGATTCTGAGCAGTATCACTGTTGTATGTTGAGATTAATGTTCGGTACAGGCCTAACTATTGAACGTTTGAACGTATCCTAGTAGGAATAATGTCTATTACGGACTTTATAGAACGGTGACAAGCACACACTAACACTCCTACGTTAATAAGCTACACCCTTATACTCTATAGAAAAGATGGGACTTCCTGTATATCCTACTATTACACAAAAACTTCAAACATTGCAAGGAATTGACTCTATTTATATATTTACATCCAGTACCCTTAGGGCGTTTAAAAAAATTTACTAAGTAAAAATAGCAAGACAGCTAATCAGATGATCAAAAAGGTTATTGCAGAAAGATTAATTTGAAACATGTCCTCCAGGCTATGTTTTAAAAAAGCTAACTATTGATTATGACAGTCACTCAGACCCCAACCAGGTAGTCTGCACCTACCTACATGGCTCAACTTAATGGTTTATGATTCTATGGATTAATGGCACCAGTCAAGTTGACATCTTTTGTATTGTAATCAGTTAAGTATTTGATCTTATTCCAGTTCTGGCTGTGTATGACCAGCTTCCTGTTCTGTCTTTATCATTTACGTAATAATTTGAAACTAAGATTAAAGTTTAGTCCCGTTGTCAGTCGAAGGTTATAACTCCTCATCTAATGAAGCATCAAGCTTGGTAATCCGATAGCATTTAACTGAGTTGGACTTCATTTAATTTTCGTTGTTGTGCTGCTGTGAAATACAGCAATTTAAACCGTATTATTACTGCAACATAACTAATTCAACTGTATGAAATAGACTAAGGATGGCTATCAGTAGAATCCAGAACGCTTGTTTCGTCCCACTTGGGACTGGTTAGCTAGATGTACCTGCATCTCAGTGTTCAGGTTCATACATAGACTCGAACTCAGCATCTTTCGCTTTCAAACCCCTTCTAATAATGATATGATTATTATTCCGTCTTAAAACTTATTTAAAATGGCACAAAGCAGAGAAGATAAACACCGATGGTAGATTATGACTTATCCAACATTGAGAACAGATCAAACATTATGTTTTGAACGCACAGATTTGTACACATTTTACTTGATTAATAATAACCACTTTCAGTAAATTGAACTTGTTCACTATTTTATTAGTTATTTACTATATGAAGACAAGTTACAAACATCATAAAATTGAGCTTACTGCAATCAACATACAATAACTAATCTACTGTCTTCTGTTAAAAAAACTTGTATGACTTTGTGCAAGGTTGTACATTGTTTGTGATCGATCGGATGAAATTTATTGACGTACTTCGCACAAACTAACCATATCGTTTTTTTTAAAGTAGGTTGAGGTAATGTTAAGTACGATCACCTTTAACAGTACAACTGCATATCGAATATGAATTTAACTTTTATTCAGTAAATATTTGTTTAATTATGTACAGATGTGTTCTATGGACATTTTAGGTGTAAACTTAAAGACAAATTATTATCACAAACTAACATCAACTAGGTAATCCTTGCAAACCAAGAGCTATCTTAGATAGTAGTTTGTTTGATAACGTTGACTATTGCCTGCTCTTTAGATATCAGTTTATTGCTTGTTTGTGACTGCTTATCAGCTATTACCCCAATACCATGCAGGTATATTGTAGTTGGTTTTAACAGCCCATTTATCAAATATCTGTCAACTGTCGTTCAGTCGCAGTCAAAGAGATATGACTCAAGGTCTGTCGATTACCGCTTTATCCACAGAAGGAAAAGGAATATGCGCGACCAAAGTGTTAACATCGAATAAAAGAATTTAAGCACATGCGACTAGGCCAAAATAGCATATCAGTCGATGTGCCTGAAGTCGATAGGGTATGTGTTGCGCATGCCCAGTCATTACTTACGTCAATGTGCAGGCAATGTTGGATGGAGTTACAGCGACTGAACTAAAGATTATCGCCACTGTGTGTAGTTATTGGTTTTTGGTTTGAGCCATATTGTTGATTGTAGTGCACGCAGTTGAACTCTTAGAGATAACCGTAATCAGCGATTAATGATACTGTGTAATATGGCTTACAGTTAATCGCAATGACCTAGAGACTTTCTCTCTTTATCTTCCGATTAGATCTTCAGTTCTGGTATCCCTTCTCACACTCACGGTCACTTTCGGTTTAATCTTGTATAATTGTTATTTTTCATTTTATGATATGAAGCGGTCTGGTTTGCTTTTATATATACTACGTATGTCTGAAGTATATTATTTATACAGTGGAGGCTGAGATTGCATTCTACATTCAACGAGCAAGGTTAAGTGAAAACGACCAATAAAGATTTAGGGTTGATACAAGACCGTTTATTCTGATTGGACGTGTAATTCATTGATTTAGCACAAGAGCAAAATCATATAAATCAGTATTCAAATTGACGATTTTATCCTATGATAATTAACAGAGAAGAAAAAGTCATAACAGTTTACATATGATAGTTTTCAATATCTATTAAACAATATTCTGTATAATTTCACTCGGTGTTGTTTAACATGTTGGTATATTGTACATCCTGTGCGGATTGCCTCATTATAGCCTTAAGTCACAAGCTATTTAAGCAAAGATGGATAATGGCTAACAGTGGAATAGGACGAAACGCACATCGTGGGTTCCACTGCTAGCCCACTATCCATCTTTACTTAAAATAATCTGTATAATTTTATTATTTTCATAAATTTTTCTTCTATTCATTTAGAAATGATGGTGTTATAGTACCATGTGGAAAATTAATTCAAGCACCTGAAATTGAAGCAAATAAATGTATTTTACAATTTAATGAATATATTGTCTATTGTGTAAATCAAATACGTTTACGATATTTACTGAAGGTGAAATTCAATTTTATTCATTAAAATATCTTTGTCAATATTGTTATTTTTTTTTTTACATACAAATATTACTGATTGTAACCGGTCCCTTTTAGTAACTATGATGTTTTCGTTTTTTATATATGATAAGATTACTGAAACGTTTTATTTTTATTATTTTGTATAATAAAATTTATATACGTATAAATTTGATCTATTTTTCATTACGAGTTGATTTTCTTTTGTTGTTTAGTCATAACAGAAGGGTTTTTAAAGATATTATAGTAATTTCAATGGTTGAGATCATGAGTCAGTTGAAGTTAGACCACCATGGAAAACCTGGAAACATTGGACGGCTGTTTCGTTCAGTTTTGGGACTCCTCAGCAGTGTGTATCCATGGTCCGGCCTCGCGAGATTCGAACCCAGAACCAGTCAGTCTCGCGTGCGAGCTCTTAACCACTAGACCACTGAGCCGCACGGTATCCACCGGCGTTAATGACTAACATCAACCAATCCACGAAACTGAGTGACTGTTTTGTCATAAGTTAATTTTTAAGCGGTTGGTATATCTTCCAACAACAAAACACGCGTCTGTTGATTACTTCATTCTTTATCGTATGTAAAATCAGTAATTTTCTACATTACCAATAACACAACGATCAACTAAATAGACTTTAAAACTTGTTGGTCTTCTAACTCGTTCCAACCTAGTGTCTAATGAGAAGAGGAAGTTCGTACGACAGGTTCCTAATGAAACGACAGTATGAATAAGACATTAAATGTTATCCATACCAACACTGTTAGTTAAGGAATAAACTGATTAATAGGTCTTTAATTAGTGAACAATAATTTAAAGAAGGTAACGTCTACAACAGTAGTTTTTGAGCCAAACTACAATGTTCCAAGTATTTATACGAATATTCGTCATTAGTAGAACGAATATTTTGACAAAAACTGGACGCTGAGTATTTAATATTTGTACAACAAAATACAAACAATAATGACATTTACTTATTCTTGAGTTATCTAGTTCGATTTATAGATTGAACAGTTGATAACTTTGAGCAAATTGTCAGAATTAAGATGGATCTTTGCACGAAAGACACCTATCAATGTAAACTGGATAAAAATTACCGATATTTGTTTTCTAAAATGCTTGAAATTAATAAGAATATCTATTATGCAACCAAACTGTGAGTTTGACATTGTGTTTAAACTAAATTATAGGAAACATGTTTCTGGTTAGAAGTAGATGATTTCAGAGTGCTCGATCTGATTCAATGCATAGTCTAGGGTATTCGCGTTGCTAAACGGTTTCCTCCCACACTAATTTCAATCTCAACTCTAACTCTCCTAAGTGTGTACTAGAGGGTAGAAAAGAATCATTGGATAATTGCTGATGTCAAGTCGTGACAACCATAAATCATGACACTAACTCAACTCCTATTACATAACCACATTTTTCCCTTACTGTAATGAATAATCTAACATATAAGAGTTCAAACGAAAAGACAATGTAATATAATGAATCTGTTAGATATTTCATAACTTCCTTTACGGTTATGTACCAGCTAATAAAATTATGTTGTTCACGATATTAACATAAGTGGAATTTTAAGGAATGCATTGTTAGGAATAAGTTACTCGGAATGTAAATGAAGTGGGAATTGAAGGTGCAACGGAGATTTCATAAATATTTTCCTACCTGAGTTCATAAAGAAATATCGTGCTGAATAGCACAAAAGGATGCTGGTTAAGAAATGTATTTTTTAACAAATTGATGTTCAGAGGTATTCAGATCCCTGCGAAAACTAACTAGAAACCTCAAGCGAGTATTGAACAATAGGACCTCGGCAGCAAAATTGTTTTCATTACATATGACGTGATATTCAATAACGTAAATGAAGGTAGATATAAAACTGTCGTATTCCGCCACAAAAATGTACTAGTTTACAGTTATCCTGGAAATCAGGTTAAGCTCAAGTTTTTGAAAACGCACCACTTGCTAGATATACGGTGGGTACGGTTTACGCATTTAAAGTGGTCAACTATGTACTGTTGTCTTATTGGTATTTGCGGAAACCATGGCGATTCAAAGGCTTAAAACTAGTCTTGATAATGGAAATGGAACCATGGTTAACCCATAAATACTTCAGCAACACAACCGGACAGGATGTTTTACCAATTTTTTTTCGATTAATTTAGGCCATGATCTTGTTTTTGCTATATTGTGTCATAAAATTTTCTCTAACATCCATAAAAACCTTGTTTATATTCCAATCGACTTATTCTTTGTTGATGAGTAATACATTTGTCAAATTTTCTATTATGTTGATATTTTGAAAAAAAAACTAACTTGATTATCTGTTGTGTATCTGAAGGGAGAGTAATGAGATCTTTAATGAATTCACCATGATTTGCAAATACTACTTTATCCAGGTTTGTGAATGAAAACAAATGCAAAGTTCACAAAGTTAAACCTTTTTCTCGAAGTGTGTTTTAATCCAAGACTGTGGAAACTACCTGTAAACTTTTTCATATTGTAAGACATGTTTACTGTTAGTGATATGTACAGTTCAGGCAATGTTAGATAACTGAAGCATTCACTCAAGCTAGTTTTAACTAAAAATCATGGTTACGTTAAGACCAAAAGAAAAATGGATGTCATCAAACTACGGTTTGAACGTTGTGGAGTTCTTAAGATTTTGTCGAGATTCGATATCGAATCTTGGAGTGTGACAACTATTTACTTGAATGGAGTGAAGCAGGAACGTCTGTATGTCTGATATTACGAAGCAGACAACTAAATTTTTCATCATTACTTAGCTAACAGTTCAGTAGAATTCAATAGGTGCTGTTGCTATTGCAGTTACCAAAATGATAACGACTTGCTCTACCAGTCATTTTCACGTGATAAGACACCCTGACCTCATTTCTGAATAATAAACTAAGATATATCAAATAGATCCGTCACCATAAAATAAAATATTTCGATATGCTTCTTACGTCGACATAAATAATATATAACACACGTCAGAAGTAGAATACCTAAAAGCAGAAGGTTGAGAAGATCGAAGAGAACGGGAATAAAGTAACTGTTATGGCAATGAATTTTGAGACAGTTAATGGAATACTTGTAACTGAAGTATTCTATGTATGATTCTTATATTTTATCGAGATATTCTGTAATTTTGTATTGAAATACGACTGATTGTCCCCAGCCTGTTTTCTCGTTCATTACATGCTTGGAGCTCTAGGTACATATATTAGAACTCCTACTCTAATCTGGTAGATTAAAATCAATACTGTTAAACAATTTTTCATATCTAACCTGAATTACAGGTCATTATTGTTACTAGTTGATAACAGGTGGTAGTTTCAATTTAGAAATGGATAGTTTCCTAAAGTTATATTTGGTACTGAACACCTAGTTCATACACATGCTTAGCTTCTCATATAATATATTTGCAAACGTTATATTTTCTTTTTATGAATAAATAAAGACATATAATTGAATTAATAAATAATTATATTTACAGTTGGGAAACGCTATTTATCAACTATAAGATAAATGTTCGCCGACTTCTACCAATTTCTGTTCGTTTACGAACCCATTCATAATTACCATATTGACTATCAAAAGTGCCTAATTGAATTGAACGTAATTTCAGTGTGAATTTCGGTCCAACTTCATTCATTGCGATATGTTCAGTATTATGTTTACCTTCATTTTCATTATCATCATCATTATGAACATCAGTTGTATTACGATGTATATAACGATAATGTCGAAAAAATATATAATCTCTTTGATTATGAAAAACAATTGTTCTACTATGTGGTTGTGGTGGTAAACGACTTTCATTAGGAAATAATGAACTTAAAATACGTTCAGTACGTAGACCAAGACGTGTCATAAAACGTGTAGTAATTAAATGTGGTATTATATTCGATTCAATATATTTGGCTGATTTAGCTGAACGCATTTCACGACGAAGTAATAC